CCACCCCCCGCGGCTCTCATGGCTGGGGAGGGCAAACGTGACCCTGCTGTCTGAGCCGCTCTGAACTGGGGCTGATGCCGCCCAGCCCTTCTTCACCCCTCCTCCTCCTCCTTTGCTAGACTTGGTACATTCAGCCTTGGGGAGCAGAGCAGGCAGAAAACGTCCCCAGTGCAAATGGGTGATTTTCTGCTCATTTAGGTCCCTGTGCTGATTATGGCCAGGCCAAGTGAGAGTCAGCAGCTGGTGCCTGGCAGGAACCAGACTGACCCCAGTCTTCCTCAGCAGCCTGTTTCTATGTACGTCCTTTTACATCTCTTCTCATATGACATTTACCTGTCCTCCCGTGGACAGTGTGACTGGACTCTGAACATGCTAGGGACCAGTTTTTGGCATTTTATGTTGAATTTTCTTGGGAAACCCAAGCACTCAAAGCAGGCAGGTGGACTATGGATTCAACCTCAGCTCCTCTTTGCCAGCAGTGAGGAAAGCTGGTACTTCTTACGCGGACAGGTGAGCTGAGAACCGAAGTTTCTCAGACAGGATGAGCTCATGTCCCTCTGGCCCTGTTGAGTCCTCTCCTAAATCTAGAAACTGAGCGCTGGTGAGCAGGTTCCATGTTTGGTCACCAGCTCCCCTCCCACGCGCGGGCAGGTAGGATGCAGATGTGGAAAACCACAGAGGCATTTAGCACCAGGCTGTGTTTCGCTTTGGCAGGCGGCTCTCCGAGCCCCGAGGCAGGCGTGGTGAAGGAGCCCAGCATGCAGCCTGGGCTCTGCTGCTGGGCACAGGCACCGCGGGTTTCCCGCAGCATCGGGGACCCCGGTGCTTTTCCCAGCAGGAAATATCATTTTGAGAACCGCGGTGCCAGCCAGCTCACCAGCTGTGCAACACTGCTGTGTGGTAATTGGTGCTCTTATGGATGCGAGGGATTAGGAGAATTCTTCGCTTCCCTTCTGTAGTCAGCGATTCAAGAGGATGACCTGTAATTTTTGAGACTAGGAGGACTAATTGATGTTCTCCTCTGGTCCAGACCCCGGCACACCAGGAGACACATCCCATCTCTGCCAGTAGAAACAAAGGCCTCTTTGTCCACAGGCACAAGGCTGCTGTGGGCTACCAGCACTGCTGTCAGCTGTGGCCGGGCTGTGAGAGCATCTTTGAGACCTGTGAGAGCATCTCCAGGGAGTCACTCAGGCACAGGAACAACCTGTGGGCAGCACCGCGACTGCCTCGCAGGCAGCATTGCTGCCATCAGCGTGCGGTACGGATGGGGAAATGGTTTGCTGACCTTACTAGACACCCTCTGCCCTGCTATGCACCCCTGCTGCACCCCAGGGCGGTCGCCTTGGAGGAAAGGGCATGTCCATTGCCGCAGCAGCATCCACATGCTGCAGAGATGCCATCCTGAGGTTGGTATCAGGCATCCAGCTGAGCTGGAGGAGGGTTGGCATCTCCTCCCCGCACCCAGCCCTGCACCAAGCTGCCTTCCAGCTGTGCAAGCAGAGGCAGGGTTTTTCCTATAGCAAGCCCCTGGCCTGGAGAAGGACCCTTGTCCTCACCTTCATTGTCCTCTCTGCTTCAGCCACAGCCAGGAGCTGCCCCCGTGGCGCTGCTGCTCGGCGGGCGGTGGAAATCCGCCGCGGTGGCTGTGTGCCAGGCCTTGTTATCCAGCCCTGGGGCCAGAAATAGAGGCCACGCGGGTCTGGGGTGGGTTTTGAAAACTTCACTTGCTGCAGGAAACCTTTAATGAACTTCTTCTGAAAGCTGCTGAGAGCAGGATGCTCGAGTGGTGCTTGGCAGGGGCACTCCCGCACGTGTCCGTCCATCTCCCCTGGCAGCCGCAGAGCTCTTGGGTTTGGTGATGGATATTTACAGATTTAGGATCCACCTGGGTAGAGTCAGGCACTAAATCTGCAAATTAGAGTGAATCCTAAATAGAGCAAAGACAAGAGCACGAGCGTGGGCTGACAGCCTGACTGTGCTTGGAGGGATGCGGACTGACGGGACTGCGGTGTTATCGCTGTTGTTGTATGTGCCGGTTTGAGGACCACTGGAGACGGTTATCAGCCACAAATGTGGGTGTTTCAGGGAAACTGTAGAATTCAGAGCTATGGGCTGGGGTTTTTTCCATCCCTAAAGGCAAGAAGAAAGGGCAAAACCTGCAGGCTGGAAAAGCCTCAATGTAGAAACGCCGAAAGCGGTGTTGCGGCTCACTCGGGCTGTAAATACAGACAGCACAGTCCCATGGCTGCTGCTGGTGCCTGTGGATGGGGAGACAGGAGAGGACGACGCACTGGAGGAGATGCCACCTTGCTGTGGGCACTGCGAGGGCACACCACCAGGCACTGGAGCTGTGAGCTGGGAGGCACCCGGTTGTTGTGTTGTCGAGCTATAGCGGAAGCACTGGAACAGGCTGCCCAGGGAAGTTGTGGCTGCCCCATCCCTGGAAGTGTTCAAGGTCAGGCTGGATGAGGATTTGAGCAACCTGGTGTAGTGGAAGGTGTCCCTGTCCATGGCAGGGGCGTTGGAACTAGATGATCTTTGAGGTCCCTTCCAACCCAAACCATTCCATGATTCTATGATCTCAGCGGCAGTGCTTCACACAGAAGATGCCGGTGTCTCCGCAGCTGCCCTGTGCTGGCTCCCCAGCCTGCCTGTGGTCGTGTGCCAGGCAAAGCTCCCTTCCTTCCCCCTCAGCTTGTGAGATTTTATTTTTTTCCTCTTTCTCTGGAGAGAACAACGCTTGAGGGCAAAGGAAGCTGTCCGGCTCCAGGCTGGCTTCCCTCTGCAGCATAACTGGCTCCCAAGCTTTCCTCGGGGTTTGTTTCTCTGGGATGCTGGATCAGGATGGCAGTGGATCAGCACAACAGGCATAGAAACCTCATGGAAATTCGGGGCCCCTTTTTTGGTTTTTTTTTTTTTGTCTTTTTCTGGTTGGACTTTGCATTTCAGACTCAGCTTGTCTTGCCTTGAATGTTTCTTCTTAAATGCTTGGGAGAGAAGGTTCCCCATCCTGCCTTGCTTGGTGCTGCTGATGCTCATCCCTGGGGGCCTTCTTGCTGCCGGAGGCTTTGCGGGGCCAAGTGTTCGTATGGGTTCACCTTCAAGCAGAAGCTTTCTCCAGCAAAACACAGCCCCTGAGACATGCTGTGCTCACCCTTAGGGCTCTGCCTCCTTGTTGGACATCCTGCATCCTGGGGTCCCACGCCCACGGTGTCCCGGTGGCTCTGTGCTCCCTGGCCAGGTTCAGGCTGATCCTGATGTCCACCGCCAGCCTGAGCCCAAGTGTGCTGTGTTTCTCCACAGGCGAGACCCAGGACCCAAGGCCATGCCCATGTGGAGTGAGGAGCAGCTGCGCACTCACCCCATCGTTGCAGACACCCTGCGGCCGTCGTGCCCACCCCGTGCTGCAGACTTGGTGGCCCGGCCATGGAGAGCACAGGTGGGTGATGCTGAGCTCCCCGGGGTGCTGGGACGAGGTGGCCCCAGCCAAATTAACCCACCTCATCCACCTTCTTGTGCCTCGATTACCCTGTGGATATCTAAGGAGGATTCACCGCCACTGGGCAGACCTTGGTCTTCGCAAGGTGTTGGCAGACCTGCTGGGTAGTTGGGAAATGAGGCAAAAGCAGTTGAGGGGCAGCCAAAAAATTTTCTGTAGAGGGGCACTCTGAAAGCACCAGATCTGTCAACCCTTCACGTTTGAATTTTAAAGCTGTTTCACCATTTATTGTTATTTTTTATGTTCGTTTTTTTTTTCCCCATCTATGTTTTATTTTCACGCTGCTTCATGAGGTGGTGTTGGTCTCCCGGCACCCCGAGGTCAGGATATCAACGCTGAAATGTTTTATTTCATTTCTAAGCCACTACTGTTTGTTGCTGGTAGGTTGAGGCTGTTTTTAGATCAAAGTGCCCCTTGTTTGTGTTGGAACGAACACTTTGACGCTCTGACCCCCATGAAGACATCTCAGTGTATCACGACTGTAGTTGCTTTGATTTAGAAAAAGAGGACAGTATTTATATCAGTGCTCAGGAAAAACTTCCCTTGGTAATTAGAAACGTACACAAATGAAAAGAATAGGAAATTTCAAAAAGTCCATTATTACACAATTCCCTAGTGCAAAACCAATGAACATAATAGTGAAATTGAGGCGCTTTAAAAAAAAAAAACAACACATTGGAGAGAAAACAAAAAGGAGACAAAATACAAATTTCCAAGATGTTTCCCCAAACGACGCTTCCAAAATGAGAAAAATCCTGTTTCCAAGGACATTTCTGCACTGTGGTTTCTCACTGGGCGGGTACGATGGTGTGAGCTGTGCTGGCAGAGATGGGACCTCCCGTGTGTGGTTGTTTTCTAACACAGCTCCGGCTGAAGCCACAGCAGCAGCAGCAGAAGCCTGAAATGAATGAATCCTGTGTACAAGCATCCTTAAGGAGATACACTTCCCTGGGATCAGTAAATAGGAGAATTATTTGGCTATTGGGGTGTACTCAGATATAGACCATCCCCAATACTTTAAATTTTGCATATCCCAGCTGTCTTTTATGCAAGGCTCGTGTCTGCTGCCCCTGGGCCCTGGTCACCATCTCATTGGACCCATGGCACTGCAGTCTTGGGCTTGGAGAGGGCAAGAGTGGCTTGTTATGTGTCTGGCCACGCTGCGTGCCCTGTGGGCTGGCAACAGGGAAGCAGCGAGGATGCTGCAAGGGGCAAAGCTCTCTGCTCTGCATCGCCAGTGGGAGCGGCGGCAACTCTGGGGTGCCACGTCCACTCCCCTGCATGATGACCCTGGGCCCATGCACCCTCTAAAAGCCACAGCAGAAGAACAACAAATTGTTCTCCGGTTTTTGCTCCAAACCCATCCTGTGATGGTGCATGGGGTCTGCATGGGACGAGGGGGCAGAAACTCAAAGCTGAGTTTCTCAAACTCATCTCCTGCGTGATCGTGTCTTGATGGTCCTCTGCCCCCAGGAGCACTCACTGGAGATGTCCCTGCTTGTCTAACCCTCCAGCTGAGCTGTAAAATCCCCCCTGTATTTTCCTGTTTCCCCTCCTGTAGCTCCCAACCAGCCAGCTCCCAAACCACTACCCCCAGTCACTGGTCCTTGTAAAGCCCAAAGCACCACCTGCTCCACCAACTGGACCCAGCCCAATTGGCTTTACCTCCTTCCAGAGCCAAGGAAGGATGTTTGGAGGCTCGTGGTCCTTGAGCATAGCTCTTAAATAGTGTCACCCTGGCTGCCTCCTCTGTTTCTCTTAGGTAAAGATGAGTGTCCACCACTGTCCTCCAGCCATCTCTCCGATGTTAGGGAAGATGGAGCTGTGGCAGAAGAGGGTGTGAGAGAATGAGCGAATTCAGGAGAAAACTGGGCAGGAAATGTGGTGGTAATGACACCAATCCCAAAAGACAATCCCCTGTGGATGAGACAGCTCAGACTGTGCAGTATGTGTCTGGAGCTTCCTTAGGACCTGGATAAATCACTCCTTGCTTTTATCCTTGCCATGCAGAGGAGACCTGCTCAGCCACTGCTGGCAATGGTGCGGACCTCAAAAGTGAACATGGAGGCAGGAACCTGCCCAAGAAAAAGCCCTGATATATGGTTACCACAAACATCTGAGATCTTCCCCTGGCTCAGGCCATGTTCTGGCTGCTCCAGCCTACAACTTCCTACAGAAGGAGGACATCATCTAATAATACCCAACTTTATATATTGCTCTTTCATATTACAGAGGAGTAAGAATTGTTTTGTCGTAGCCTGGTGTAAGGAGGGACACAAAGCCAGGCCGTGGTGGACCTTGCAGCTTTCCTGGCAGACGCCCCACGTGCTTTCAGGGCTGACTTTCATTTTACGTCTGTGGTGCGTCGGTGCGCATGGCCAGCCAGCTGTCATGCGAGCTCACTTCTGATCACAAGCCCTCACCCCACCTACAAGTCATACCCCAAACTGGGTCTGAGGTTGTCAGACTTATTTTTGGCCGAGAGCAGGATGCAGTTTGGTTTTGACTTGTAGGAGGCGTGTGTGGCGGTTACCAGGCAGAGGCACCGACCTCGGGTCCCTGCCTGGGGGAGCAGAAGGTTCTCAGGGCCCACAGGTGGGTGGTCACACGTCAGGGAGAGGCTGCGAGGGGTCGCAGGTGGAAGGCAGGGGTGACGTGCCAGCCTGGTGGCTCTGCCAGGGTTTCCCAGGAGGAATGAGATGCCCGTGCAGGCTGCAGCCCTTGTTGCAAGAGTTTTTCTTGCGATGGGCGTAAGGTTGAGGCTGAATCCATGCAGTACCAAGAGGTGTTTCTACTCTTTCATCATGCCAAGTTGTGGTTTCAAGTTGTTAGTTTCTATATTTAATGTGTGATTTTTTTTTAATTTTTTTTGAACAAGGGGAGAGAGGGGCTCTGCAGAGCTCATGCACATGAGCAGTCCTCTGCAGAGCTTCTCTACCACCACATCCCTGCTGGAACACCTTGAGCTCCAGTATGGCTCCACAGACCATCAGCCCATGGGGTGGCATTTGCCCCCCAGCTCCAGTGGCCCTGGGGAGGGCTCTGGCCTATTTTTATCAAGTCTCATCCAGGCTTGAAGTCTGCTGAGACAGCCATCCTGGGGGATGCGATGAGGACGCGGTCCCCGCACTCACTGCACACCCAAACCAGTGCTTCTTTCACCAGGGCTGTCCCTGGGTGCCAGTCTCCCAGGGGTGCTGGCTTGGCTGCTCATGTCCTCTTTGTCCCTGCAGAGGTGGAGTCGGACATCCTGCGCCGTGTCCGCACACTACTGCGAGAGCTGGACGGGCACCACCCTGCCTGCCAGTGCGACCGAGGTAAGACAAAGTGGACCTCTGGCACAGCTCCTGGGGGTCAGCACCCACTGTCCCCTGCACTGCCTCACTGGCATATTGCTTGGCCCCAAACCCCCTGCCGCTCCCCTCTCAGATGGCACCAGGGTGGGGGAACACGGGGCGGCCTCACCTCCCTAGTGCAGCTCTGCCCTTTCTAACCTGCTCTCGGAGGTGCTAAATCTTTGGCAAGTGCCTGGTGTATCCTGTGCACCAACCTCAGCAGCTTTTAACCCTCCTCTATGCGGCTGTTACATCCTTTACACCCTTCGCTCACACAGCGGGTCCAGCATTGAGGTAGGACATCAAACGCCAGAGTCTGGATGCTGTTCCCAGCTCTGACACTGACTCGCCACACAGCCCTGTCCAACTCACTTAACACCTCTGAGTTGGAATCTCCTCATCCCTTCCTGCAGGGATATTGCTTTGCCATGCACCACTTGGCTTCTCACTAAAGAGTCGTAGAATCACAGAATGGTTTGGGGTGGAAAGGGCCCCTCGGGATCATCTAGTCCCAACCCCCCTGCCATGGGCAGGGACCCCTTCCACTACACCAGGTTGCTCAAAGCCTCATCCAACCTGGCCTTGAACACTTCCAGGGATGGGGCAGCCACAACTTCTCTGGGCAACCTGTTCCAGTGCCTCACCACCCTCAATGTAAAAAATTTCTTCCTTAGATCTCATCGAAATCTCTCTCTTTCAGTTTAAAGCCATTGCCCCTTGTCCTGTCACTATATACCCTTGTAAAAAGTCCCTCTCCAGTTGAGTCAGTTGAAACCCCTGTGTTAGAGTTTTGGAGAATAAAACTCTAGCTGACCCAGCAACCGGGCTGCTACAGCCTTCAGAAACAATTAATTTTGAAAAATTGATTTTACTTGGAGTGCATGGGATATTTTACACTTAATTAAATTTGATTTTGTGTGGGATGAGCCTTGACATCCGCAGGACTGAGACGCTTTGTGGTCCTTGCTCTGAGTGTGAGCTATTGGCAGTCAGCGTTCAGGAACCCAAATTCCTCGGGGCAGGCAGTAGCACAGGCAGTCATAAACAGAGCATCAGAAGGAACAGGAAACAAACTTCACATCCAGTGTGCCCTGCTTTACTTTTCTTCTGTCTCTCAGTCTTAGGACCTTTTTCCATGGGTTTCCCAGTATTAGAGGTACGATACATCAATGCTGCACCCAGGGATCAGGGCAGCAGCACGACTTGGCCCTTGCAGGGGGTCAACGATTGAGGCAGAGGGCAGAGAAGCCTGGTTTAGCTCTGACAGTGACATCAGTGTAGCATCTGCAGCAACAGTGCCCAGGTCTCCTGATTCCTCTGTCAAACGCTGCCCCTGATCCATCGCCACTCTGCTTGGCAACCTGACCTCTTTCTTGGCTTTCACTTCTCAGGGATGCTGCGATGGACCCTGCATAAAAAAATCGACCAGAATCCCAGTAACAGCTCCGTCCTGATCAAGATCCTGGTGAAGGAGCTGGAAAGGGTGAGTGCCTCCTCAGAGACGTCCCCTGAGTGTTGGGCTCGATCCCTCCATGGCATGTGCCCAGGGGAGCAGAGGGATGGGGACTCAACCTCACCCCAAACAGGTGTTTTTAGGGGCTTTGAGCCTGGCTGGGGACTGTGGCTCATAGCACAGAGTGAAAAACCCTATGGGACGCCAGTGCAGAGCTGTAGCTTGTCCCCAGCTGATGGTTGCAGGGACCAGGTTTTGCCCCAAAAGTGACCGTGAGCCCTGGGCAGAGCAGGGAACCTCCCTGGGCTCCTCGGTGCCGCAGCAGCCGAAGGCAGCTGGGCTTGGCAGCTTGCAAATAACAGTGCAAAACACTTCCGACCACCCCCAGATCTCCCTCGTCCCACCCTAGCCAGCTGTAGTCCCAGGTAGAGTGGAAATTTCTCCTCCATGTCACTCATTTCCGCCGCAGAGGCTGTCAGGGCAGAAGCATCTAACCCAGTATCCTGTCCTTCGGATGGAAACTTCGTGATGGGTTTGTTGCTTTTTTTTTCATTGATTTGTCTTGTCATTTTCTGGTCTTGCATAAACCTTTAGCACCCTCAACATCCTGGCGAAACCTGGTTTGTGGTTTGGTGAGGTGTCATGTGTAGAAGTAGCATCTTTTCTTTCCTACGAGCCTGCCTCATTTTACCCAGCGCCCTTTCAATCCAGGGACGAAGAGCCCGTGTCCCCTCTTCACCTCCTCCTCCCCACCCTGGTGACAAGCCCCTGCTACTTGTCCTTTGTGCAGAAACCTCCTCGTACCATCTTCTCTACACATTTACTATTTCTCCTTCCGAGCTGGAAGGATGGAGCCGCCTCGCTTGGCATTGCCCAGCTCCCACATCTCCAGCCAGCGTTGGCGGGTCCAAGCACCCTCTGCAGAGGCTGTCACCTCCCTCTGTCACCGCTCCCGTATCCCGCAGTTGAGCCGCGTCAGCCCAGCGCAGACCCCCGTGCACACATCCCAGCACTCTGAACATCGAGCAGTAACTCCTCGTCTGTCTTTCCTGCCTTGTAAGCAGCTCCGAGGCTATTTGTGGGATATCTGTCCCAGGCTATGGAGTGCAGCTTCCATCAGCATCTTGGGGAGGGATCTTATCAAGGGGCTTTTGCAAATCCAGATAGACAGGAACACCCACATCACTCTTGGCTGGGGACGCAGGGTACCCCCAGAAGGCTTGAGGTCTGCTTTTCTGCAAAAGCCATGTTGGTCCCTTCCCATTATACCTCTTCTCGCTCTCCCACTCCAATCTTCCCTGGCCCAGGAGGGTTGTCAGGCCTCCTGGTCTGGGATTCCCTTCATCTCCCTGAAGCTCTTCTTGGAAATCAATGTCACTTTTTTTTTTTTTTTTTCCATTCCTCTGGTACGGCAGCAGCTCTGAGCAGTCAGTACCAACCGCAGATGATAATTTAGCAATTTCATGCTTGAGTTCCTCCGAGGCCCTGGGCAACCATCAGCTGGTTTCAGCAATTCAGCGTTATTCATTTTATTGATCATTTCTAAAGCTTTGCTGCCATCAGGTCCATTAAACTCAGATCCATCAGCACAGCAGCCCTGAAGAAAAGTGCTGGAAATATCTTTAGGGTGGAAATATCTTTCCCAGGTTTATCCAGAGCCATTCCTGTTGCTGGAACTGTTGTTAGAGCCACACCAGGCTGCAGGGAGGGGCTGGAGCTGTGTCAGCTTGAGCATCCATCTGGCTTCCCATGGGCTGAGATGGGGACACAAGAGCATCCCTCCTCCCTCTTCGCTCTGGTCCCACACCCATCAAATGTAAGACAGGCTTTTCCCAGAGGTTTTGCATCTCCACGTGAGTTTTTGCAACAGCAAGTTGCTTCTTAATGAGGTCAGTTAGAAACTTTTGCTCACCCTTGTGTGTGCAAACCATGTACTTGCAGCAGCTCCTGAAGCCTTCTCATCCCTACAGCGGTCACCAGCCCTGCAGTGCGGCAGTGGCCACAGCAGCGTGGTCCATCCCCCCGCACTCCTCCCGAGGGCTTGGCTTCCATGGGATGCCCACCATGCAGGATCTTGTCTGCCCCAGGGACATCCTGCCCACCCTCATGGTCTGTGGAGGGATCTCAAACCTCACGTTGACCCAGGGAGCATCACCCCTAAGCCAAGGTGAATCCTCGTGCTCAACTTGTGTATCTGAGCTGCTGAGCAGACAGAACCCAGCACGTCCTGGGGGCTCCAGTGACTCCCCCAGCTCTGGTGCCTGCTGCTGCCCATGCTGCTGCCCATCCCAGCATCCTGCCAGGTGCTGTCTGCACTGACCGTGCCTTTTGGTTCCACAGGCAGAGCGAGGTGACTTCAGACATTACATCATCCCCTTGCTGCACACGCTGATGTACACCTTGATAAAGGTAAGCTACCGCGGGCTTCACTGGGGCAAGATCCAGGGGAATCAGAAGGCACAGGAGGGGCCACCTGAAGTCACTCAGCACCTTTTCCTCTGCTGAAATATCCCAGTATCTGCCCAGCAAAGCCCTGGGGCTGCCACAGGTGGACTCAACTGTGCATTTCCCAGTGCTGTGACATGTATGGGAGTGACAGTTCCTCCAGCTGACCCCTTTTCTGGAGGTGTTTAGGTGCCTGATGGTGCAGGAAGCCACAACCCAGCAAAAATATGTGTCCACAGCCCCTCAGCGGGTATTGCCGGAGGTTTCCAAACTGTTCTAGGGCCTGATTCTGCTTCACATATTGCATTTAAATCCATATTGAATTTGATGTAGCTTTGTGCCCTCCCACCCTGGGATCTGTCGTGGGGAGAGCACCGTTAGGGATCACTGCCTGTGGCATCTCCTTATCAGCCCTTTTCCCACCCCAGGCTCCCTCCATCTCCGACGAGCTCTGCAGCAGAGTGTACGATTTCTGTAAGAAGCTGCTCACCCTGCCCAAGCCTTTCTGCACCATTGGTTTGGACTATGCCACCAGGCTGAAGATGGAAAGGACAGCACCGGGTATGGGGGCTTCTCTGCTCTGCCCGTGCATGGCACAGTGCATGGCCGGGGTCCTGGAGGCAATGGGAGTGGGAGGGTTGGGAGGATTCCCATACCTGAGCTGGCCTTTGCCTAATGCAGCGAGCCACGGTGGGGATTTCTGCAGGGGGCTGGCCAAATGCTTGGGGGTCTTAGGGATGTGTTTGGATAGGAGGGTTCCCCTCTTCTGATTTCAGGCTGCTGAGCCTTAGTTACTAGCAGAAAACTTTGGAGTCCTCCTGCTGTCGTTGTAGGTACCAGCAGAGTCAAGGCCAGGTATATATATATACACCCTCTGTCTATATGGGAAACAAGGTGCTTATGCTCCCAGCCTGGGCACCTCCATAAATTTTGCGGAGGTCTCCTTTTTGCGGAGTGAAGTCTCCATCTGAGATTGAGTTGCAGGCTGTCCAGCACGGACTCTCCCTCCACTACCTGTGCACCAGGTTTTAGATACTAAAACATCATCAGTGGCTGCAGAGAACAGTCCCTTTTAGAAAGCAAGCCAGAGGATAACTCTCTATTTTCCTTTTTCTCTACATTGCTCATTAAAGTTCTTCTTGGGAAAGTTTTCTTTAAGAAAAGTCTTTAAAAGCAATCCTTTAAAACAGTGCAAGGTGCAGACACCTTGTGAGGTGGAGGTAAAATATGAGAAACCTGGTGGGAAATGAGAGGCAAAGTGCCATTCGTGGTAGTCTCAGCCCATCACCATCACCCAGTACCACTTTGCCTGGAGCTCCAAGGTCCACCTTTATCTCACCTGACTTCTGGTGAGAGAATGATTCGGTGTGGATGGAGAGACGGAGATCTCCAGTGGGGTTCTCTTGGAGCACCACAAGGTTCATAAGATGATTGCACCTGAGCAATGCGGAGTGGACGTATCTTCCCCACCCCAGAGCTGGATGAGGGTAAAGTACATCTCTCTTGATTCCAAAACATGTTGTGTTCTTCACATCCACTCAAACACTGTCCCCCGATGTGGCCCCGGGGACAGAGGCCGGGAGTAGGGCTCTTCCTCCTGCTTCCGACTCTGCTCCCAAGCTCACAATCCACTAAACAAAGGAAGGGGAAATACAGGAAATCGTCCCTGAATAGAAGGGATTTTCTTTTTATGTAGCGTGGTCTATCTTTGTCATCAACTATTTTTAACCCTGGGCCCGATTCTTGGCTCTTTTGCACCATCTTTCCAGCAATGGATGTTTGCCGACTTGGCACGAGCACCAGGCTGCCCCAGTGAAGTGTGTTGTTATTTCTCGTGCTCTGACTCCTGCATGTTTGTCTTCTTGCGTTTGCTAGGTACGTTGTACCAAAGAATGGTCATTTCCGAACAGAGTCTTAAAAGCGACCCGTACCCTTACCAGGAAAAGTGAGTAGTGCCTTTTCAAATGGGTTGTTACTCTTATTTCTTTTACAGTCTTACAGTGAAATTTGTCCTTTTCCTGCGCTCTGAATTAATGTCGGATGGAATGGACAACTGGGACATAAACCACATGGCAGCACATGGTCTTGGGGCACACAATTTGGTGGCATCAAGCGCCTTGCTAAAATGAGCTTTGTGTTGGGAGGAGCACGTTCGTCTCATGTGTCCCAATCTATTTCTGTGCTCCTGGGAGGTAGGAAGCCTCCCTTGGCAGGGAGGGAGGGCAGAGAAGGGGAATACCAGCAGCAACCCTTCTTCTCTGCATGAGATAATGGAGTTCTGAGCTGCTTGTGCCAGTCCTGATGCCAGTAACGGGAAGTCCTCATCTCATCTCATCTCATCTCATCTCATCTCATCTCATCTCATCTCATCTCATCTCATCTCATCTCATCTCATCTCATCTCATCTCATCTCATCTCATCTCATCTCATCTCATCTCATCTCAATCTCATCTCATCATCTCCCTCTTTTCCTATCCTCCCACCCCACGTAGGATTTTCATCTTTGCCGACCCAGAGCTGCTCTCCGAAGCCATCTGCAACGCACTGGTCACTGACACAGAGGCAGCTCAGATGTCCCAGAGCCCCCGGGCATGCATGTGCTACGTGATCATCCATGCCATGCAGGCAGCCCTAGGCGAGGGCTGCGACGTCAGTGACTTGAAGAGGAGCCTCCAGGTAACTGGCACCACTTCTGCAGCACCACGTATGGTTTTCCAATAGTCCTGTTCTTGGTGGGCACCTCGGAACAGGGGAAGGTTTTTTGGCAACTGGAGAGACACCCCCCCCTCAGCTCCTGACTGCTGGTCTCCACCACCAGTAGCCCCAATGTTACTTGCAAGGCTGGGCTATGAGCAGAGCTGGTGTCAAACTGAAAAATTCTTCAAATATAAAAGAGTTGCTGCAGCCAGACCTAGAGGGTTTGAATCTTCAGTTTGAGCCTTCAGTTTTGCACAGCAAAGCTGGGCTCTGCGGCCAAAATACAGGCTCCTCCATGAGCCACTGGTCATTGTAAAAACATCATCTCAGCGGAAACGTTTCAGCCAGTTTTCTCCAAAACCTCCTTCAAGGAGCTGTGGGGCCACAATAAGACAAGGGTCTGGTTCAGAAAGGCAACTTTGCAGGGGCTCTCAGTGATTTCCACTCCAAGGACACCTTTTTGCGTCTGCTGTCCCCATTTCCCGAGGGTCACTGGAGCTGCCAGATCTGCTGCTGGCTTGCTGGGCTCATGGCAGCTGGGAGCACTGTGCCCATCAGCTGCAAACCTGCCAGGAAAAAGCTTTAAGCAGACAGTGCAGCCAGAATCTCTCCTCCTCCAGCCTTTCCCAGGGACAGGAGGACGTTTGTGCCCTCTGCTGCGAAACAACAATTTTTGCAGGACTCATTTGCCCTCTTTCTGCCCCCTCCCATGGCCCTGCCTGTGGGGCATCTCCTCTTTTTCATGCCTCCGGGTGTTAATAGATGCTCCTCGTGACAGGCGATGCCCACGGGCGACGTCGAGCACTGGTTCCGGCAAGTGGTGGCAGCAGTTGAGTGTGCAGGACACGAGGTGAGCGCAGACCGTGGCCAGCACGCAGCGAGGCTGGAGAAGATTTACCGCGCTGTCCTCAGCTCCTTGCGAGCAGGTGAGCTCCCAGCCAGCCATGCACGGTGGGTTAAAGGAGCTGTGCAAGCTGGCAGGTCCCTGCCTCTCCGACGTGTCCTCACCGTTGCCCTCCTACAGCTGCCCATCCCCACCTCCTGTCTGCATCCGTCACTGGGATCAGGTCCTTGCAGCCTGGCTCCTTGCAGTGTCCTGATGTCCAGGATGGCAAACTGCACGTGGTAGTGGAAGGCAGATTTGTCACCTAAGGAAAGGGATTGTGGGAATCTGCTGCTAATTCAGCTGCCCTGAGGCCCAGAGACATGTCTGCTGTTTGCAAAGGGTGCCATAGGTGTCAACCAGGGGCAGTTGGACAGACTCTCCAGTGCTCTGCTGGTGTAAGATACATCCTGCCCTGGTCTAGACTGGGGAGACACTGTGCACCACTCCCTGAAACCTCCTTGCACTGATGTAGTGGACAGTGGTACTGCCATCTCCTTCCATCCCTGGCAGTGCTCTGTTCCAGCCTGGTGCCAGCTGGGCTACATTGACTGCAACGAATGTCCCCATCCATCACAGCTCCTCACCAAATCTGGGGTAGACCAGAGGGAAATGGGGATCATGCTTCCCTCTTCCTGGCTACTCCTGGTGGAAGGTCCCTGCATCCCAACCCCTTCCCTGAAAAGAGCTGGAGGCTGTCCCACTGCAAGGTATGGGGGGCAGCAGTCAGTGGTGCAGGGAGAGGAGCAGGACCATTTCCTTTCGGTGGCAGTGAGCTATTGAATTGTCTCACTGCTTCTCACAGAGCCGTAATGGGTTAAAAATAGCCACTGATGGTGGGGACAGAGAGCTCCCTTGTGACTCAGCTGAGATTGCCAAGGGAGGTCCTGCCAGTGCTTTGGAGGCCCAGCACTCGAAGAGTCTTTTATTTATTCTGCAATCCCTCTGCTGCCTGCAGCAAAGCAAAGCACACTTGCCTGTGCCTGTTTCCCCATCTTCTCTTCTCCCTTTCGCTGAAGGTTCAGGTACCTTCCTGTGACTCAGTTTGTGAGAGCAGAGGTCTGTGATTACAGCCTCAGGTCTGGCCAGACGACAACTAGTGTGGGAGAGCCCTTGGGGTCAGCACAGGCTATCTCAGGTGGTGTCCGAAGCACAGCAGTGGTGGGGGTTTGTGCACCTCTGCCGGGAAAACTGCCTGCTCCCGTGTGTTACAAGCATCCTTGCTTCCTGCAGGTGATGCTCCCTTGGGAGGGCTGCAGGGTACCCCTCTGCCCAACCCCACCATCAGCTTTCACCTCTGGAGAGAAGACGACCAGCTCTGTGAGTGTCCTAGGGGGCTGCGGCAAGTTTGGCTGTGGTTGGGAAGCCTGGGTTGGCAAGGTGGCTGGGGTTGGGAAGCCTGGGCAAAATACGTCATGTAGCCCTCGTTCTTGGGCCATGAGTTTCATATCCATGGCCCAAGGGCCAAGCTTGTGGAGCCTTGTGCTGACTGCACCAGCCTTCCTTCTTGTGAGGGGTAGAGGTCAGATCAGGGGATGTTTCGGGGGGAGAGAGGTGAAGGAGATGATGAGGGGACCCCTGTGGGACAGGCTGCAGCAGGATGCGCCCAAAGTACCTGATTTGAGTGATACTGAGCTCTCTTCATGGTGCAATGGGACTGAAAGACTGACTTCTCTTGAACCTACTGGTGGAGATATCAGCCCTCCGGTTTGCATGAGAAGAGGGGAGCCGGGGCATGTTCAGCCTGGGTTTGGTTGTGTTTCCCTCCTCGAGCTCCCTTCTGCCCACAGGGAAGGAACTGGTGCTGTTCATCCGCCCACTGTCGCAGAGCTGCGAGCCCGACTGCCTAAGCCAGGATCTGGACAACTTCGAGATCCAGGACATCATTTCCGAGTGCGAGTGCTGCGAGCAGACCCGCTTCTCCGTGCTCTCCACTGACAGCGGCATTGAGCGAGATCTGCCCGCGGCAGCCGAGGAGCTCCTTGCCCCTTGCAGCGCTGAGATGGAGCAATCCCGGCTCCAGAGGAAGGGTGGCATTAAAAAAAAGCCATCACCGCTGGAGAGCGTGGCCTTCCTGCAGGCTGGCTGCAATGGTCCTGGGGTGAAGCCCCCGGTGAAGCTGCAGAGACCGGGCATCCCTCCGGTGCCCGCGGCCCCGCTGCAGAGGCTGCACACTGCCCGGATCGTGCTGCTGGGGGACGACCGGATCCTGGGGCGCCTGGCCCAAGCCTACCATTCTTTGAGGTGACCGGTGGCCACCGCTTCTT